ACTTGTAATCAGAAAAATGGGCGATTACTGATTACTCATGATTATTTGACAAACTGTAATCGATTACAGCTGATTACGATTACTGATTACGATTACCCCATATCTGTATTCAATCCCAAAGTCCATTAAATAATATACAAAATAAGAGCAGAGCAAGAAAAGCGATGTTATTTTACTATATTAATTTAATTCCCTATCTCTTACATTTACATACAGAGGTGGGATCAGGCGCCATGGAGGAGTGAGCATCCCCTGCTGACCGGTCACACCCGCCGTGTGCTCCTTGTCATGATCGGGATGTAGAAATAACGGGCTAACAATAAGCACGAAAAACGTCAGTCAACATTTCATTTAATGATAAATTTTATTTGCTGATAATGTCATTGTATCGACCATTATAGAAGTTACGAAATGATAACCTGAAACGAATGTTCTTGTTTCACCAACTTGCTTGTCAATGATTTACCTCGTTTAAGAAAATGTTCATACGTAGATCATGCTCTTGCGTATCGAATCAACTGAGATATATACCCTTGGTATGCAGGTAATGAAGGTCTATTGCTGCATGAGTAAGGGAAGTTAACGAAAGAAAAGTTTATTAAAAGTCATCAAATTTGTCATAAAGCTTGGTTGTTAAATTACCATAAACGTCTTTTTCAAAAAAAATATCCAGGTATGAAACAGATGTGTCAGACTCTGTGGTATCTTTAAACTCAAACTCTTCATGATATATCGGATCGACGTATGAATGGAAATTACCGTTGTTAATTGACAATACATCGTCGATATATCTAAATGTCGAGTTGGAGGCATGTGTTTTCTTCTTTTCAGACCTTAGAGTTTGCACAAATTCTGTTTCATATGAATACAAAAATAGGTCTGCTAATAACGGAGCGCAATTGGTACCCATGGAAATTCCAATAACTTATTTAAAGTTTACGAGTTCTATTTTTACTGAAAAAGCAGCTGTCATTGATTTTAAAAAGTCTGGACTAAAATTTATCGTGGGATTAAATGGTTGTGTATACATAAAGTTGAAAAGTCGTACGTTTTAGCGGTATTTTTAGTTGATTTTTGGTAAAATCTTCTGATTTAAAATTGTCTTAAAGTTCTTTGGAATTTTTGAGTATCCGCATCTGATTCACACCAATTCTTGAATATATTGTTGCACAGTACTCTTGAGGTCTTTCCTTAATTTCTGTCAATATCTTAGTGAGATGTAACGAAAGAGGCATGGTTGAACAGTTACTGGAACCCGCAATGCATCTTTGTTTGTAAGGATTCTTATGAAGTTTCGGAATTCAATATATATAGGGTAGTTAAAATTAATTTTGGCTCTGTGGAATATTTAAAATTGACATATGATTTTTAAGAATATCTTCCTTAGAAAGGGAAGTGTGAGTATAAGTAGGATTACCACTTGTAGAATCCAATCCAAGTTCTTCTAAAATACACGTACAATCTGTATACTCAGTAATGAGCCTTACAAACGAAGACAATATTGTTACATGCTTTGTCGGCATGGACCAGTACTTACTGATCATGTAATCTATCAATTTTTTTTCACTTCTGGATTATTGAACACAGAAGGATATATGAGGGGTTATCAAAAAGTTCGAGGAATGAGGCTATAAATTTAGTACTATGTAGTCTGTGCTTTCAGAATTTATATGGAACATCAAACAACACAAAATAAAAAAATGTTGAAAATTTTAGCCTGATACGATAATTATTTTCCAAATTATTATAAAATGAAAACGACATAATATGATCACCCGGCGCTGTCGTCGGTTATTCATGACGTCCGATAACGTCATTGACTTTTCAATGCCCTCCTCTCCTACATACACTTTTTAATGAGAGTCCCTGAAGCTGAGTAAGGACTTATACCCGCCTTTTTTATATGACTTTACAATGTCATGAACAGTGGCCTTCAATGAATACAATATTCCAGATGGATTAATACATTGGGAGATATCTGCGCTTGATTGTGCCGGAATATTTTGCTTTGGGGAGTTCAGTATCTACAACACATGATCAACGTCATTTTTGACGGGGTTGATTTTTCACACCTTGACTGCAAATTGATATTAGCTATGTATCCCTTTACTCTCTGAATCTATTTTGATGACAAGTACTCTGGATGCATAATATTTCTCTGTAGCCAGTTTGGTCTATACTAGTTTTTTCTGGGACAAAACTTTATAGAATGTTGCACACATATCTGCGTTAACGGGATTGTTGCATGTCAAATAATCATATTAAAGGAGTTTTTCTCAGTTACACACATAAGTCGAAATAACGGCGTTTTCGAGGTTGCGCTGCCTGGACATACCATTGCTCACAAAAACATTACTAATTTTAAAAAAAAATAAAATTCATGATTTGTGGTTTATTCTTTGGATAGAAAAGATGATGCTAACTAGATATTTCAAAATTCATTGATGTGCCTTTAGCGGTATTAATTTTATGGCGCTAGTCCTCGAACTTTTTGATAACCCCTCGTATGTTTTTCATATTGCCCCTCAATCTTTTAATACGCGACGTAAACATGGATCTGATACATTTAATTCATTCTGACAAAGTTTAAACATCTTTTTCATATTTTGCACATTGTCTAGAGTAATTTTCAACAGAATCTATAATATTTATGAAATTCAAACGCCAGTTGAAGGAGCGGGGTTATGTATTCTGCTTTAAAATACACACTTTTTAACTACTTTATATAAAGTGCTAACTCTTTTCATGTATATACAGGAAATACCATACACATCGAGAACGTTCTTATAATTAATGATATTATAAAATCCTCCAAAAGTGGCAAAAATTAACATGAGTGAATAACAGTTCAACCTTCAGAAATATCTATAAAATAAAAAACACTTCCCTTTTCAACACTTTTTAGCCCACAGACACCTGACCAATGGTTGCTGTTATATCCTCTTTCTTCTGATATTTTATAGACATTACCTTTGCAAATTAATAAACTCTAATAGTTTATCATATTACTTCGATATAAAGTCTCCTTGCACATATCGCCCAAAAGTTAATGCTAAAGTAAAAGTGTGAAATTTTGGGATAAAAGTTGTCAAACTTCAAGGTCAATTGCAAAAGGTTAAAATTGGTTGTGCACACACACAAAAAAGATCTTGTCACAAAAATACACCTGTGAAATATGAAAGCCATAGTCCCACCCAGTCTAAAGATATGGCCAAGATTTATGCCAGAAAACTATACAAACAGACAGAGGGACAGGTAAAAACTATATACCCCTGAAACTTCGTTTACGGGGACATAAGCATAACATTAAAGTAACAACTTTTTCATCATTCAACATTTGTTTGTTTTTAGTTGGTAAAAAACTCCTAAAATCATTATATGTAAGTGTAACATGTATAACGGGGAAAACTATACTACATGTGCCATTTTTTGGAAAGACGTGCACACCTTTTTTGTGGTTAATCATGTTTTATGCTACAACCCCCATTTTGTTAAGGTTTCGTTGACACTGGCAAACGACAAAAGACATTTTACAGGTTTTGAGCTGACCACACTTTCTTTCCTTTGTATCATAGGTCAGAGGCAATTTAATTTCGTACTTATTTTTACAAATTTAATCAACTCTATTTTTTAATGAGAAGTTTGCAACCCCATTCATAGAAAACCAATATTTTATAAGATCTTATTTTCTAAGCTAGCGCCCCTTTTCGCGCCAGTTTTAAAACGAGGGATTAAAAATATATAACTTTTGAAAAATAAAACTTCATTTTGATTTTTGCAAATTATTTATCCAGGGTAATATAGAAGGGATTTATAATTTATTATAGAAACTTTTTTCTGACACCAGTTAGAAGATAACCTTTATAAGATTAAAATGGCCACTGTGAAAACTTACTGTATAAAATGTAAAAAAGTTTCTATGAATGCGCGGACGTATCTTTGCTCTAATAGCCAAACATTTTAATTTGTTTTCCTTTAATGGGGATAAAACAGTTTGTATTGTTAATGAAAGGTATTGTATAGCTTTTATTCCTTATCTAAGCTTGAAGGAGTTCAGAAATAACACTTCAAAGTATGAGGCAGCTTGATAATACCCGTATACATTCGCCTAACAAGAATATTCCTCGAAAACGAGTGTTTTTTGCATCAAACATTGACAAGGGGTCATTATTCTACAGGGTCATTTTTCTACAATGCACACGGAGAAAAACGACCCCGAGGCCATACTTTCTACAGAAAAGTGGGTCAAATTTCTACGTAGAATATTGACCAAGGGGTCAAATTTCTACGTAGAAAAATGACCCCCGGTCAATATTCTACGGGGGTCACTTTTCGTCGTGAAATCGGATCGACGTAAAACAGCAAAATTCAATCAATCAAATTATCATGCCGTACCTTTAGTTTTGGGAGAACCAAATCCAGGTGTATATACAAATTGTAGAGAAACATAGAATCTCACAATTTTAATGTCGTACCTTTGCGTCATTAATAATTGACATATCTATTACAACATTCATTCTTAGTTTTTTATTCTGTCTGATTAAGCGGAGCAGAGGGAAAAATATGGTTAAAATATTCATTCTTACCATATGGAAGGCATGAACATAATAACAGTAACTTTTAAATACAAACATAACCAAACTTTATTTTAGATGCCTTTTTAATGGATTCTAGTTGGTCTGGTTTATCGCTCAAAATCAAATACAGAATGATTACATATGAGCAAATATTTTGTATTTTCAGCACAACCATGGTATATGTATGAAACATAAATCATCAACATAATGATTTAATATTTGAAATATTTTATTATGAATATGATAATGATAACATAAGTTTTGCTTGTAAGAGAATCTAGAGAGCATTATTGCAAAACATCTTTTCCGCAGAAAAATAATGTTCTAATACTTTTAAAACACGCAATGTGATAGACACATAATCTTAAATAAAGTGCAGTGTATAAACTTAAACAATAAAATTGAAATCATTTATTTTAACTTCATTTTATAAATTATAATAAAAGAAATGCATTATATAAGAAAACCAGAAAAAGTGGTGTATGGAATACTGCCTGAATAGTATCCACTACCTGTTCGATGTTTTATCCACACGGTATCATCCTTTTCGAGACGTGCCACTAACATGTTTGTCCCTGTTTGAATTGAGGAATCCGCCACAGCTGTCACCATGGAATTTCCATTTAATACCATATACAGGTATATATATCGAGAACTATAACTAACTACGGTTACAAAAAATTGGTACATCCCCGCGACAGGAGCCGTGAAGATCCCGGTGTTTCCATTATAACCTCCTCCAATGTTGGTGATCACTTTTGAGAAGACCAGTACACCACTGGACCAGGAAGACGAGTCTGACGGCATACCAGCTGTAAATCCCACCTTTTTGGTTAAATCTGAACATGAAAATATGATTATTTGGCAATTAGAGTTACACGTGCATAGATTTCACATACAACGACCTAGAAAATAAAAATCAAATGAAAAATAAGATAATTCATATAAAAAATAAGTAAATTTTTGTCTATTTAATGAATGAATATTTCTATGCATTTTATAGATATAATTGAATGCGCAGATTAAAAGATGTAAACAAAACTGAAAATTTGTTTGAATAAAGAATTGATCTCATTTGTACATCATGAAGTATAAGACGTCGCTTAAACAATACAAGAACCTTTTAACATTTTATATTTTAAATTCAGTGTTAAGCGTTGTTTAACGTTGATAATGATATATCCTTTTATCCTTTTGGAGAGAAAGGTAACTGTACTTGTGTTATTAGGTACATTAATTTTGTATCTTTGTTATTTCAAAAATGTACACCCAGCGCATGGAAAATAATTATTTCACATCAAATTAAATAAAACATCTGTATTTTAAACTTTGCAGTGGGAAACACGACCAAGTGATGCTCCTTTATTACGACAGTGGCATCCACCGTACTCTTTAAGAACATCGCAGGCAAAAACCTGCTCTATTTATTGAATAATTTGAACAGGAGTCTAATTATAAATCATCATAGATATCTCAATATAAATTGGTGGGTAATTGTGACTGGTGTGTTTTATCCTCCATCAGCAAATCCTTGAAATAATAACTTTAATGATACGCTATTTCTAGATCAATTCTTGTTATCATTTTTATTGAACAATTTTACATTTCATTTCATTTTGGTACTTACCACAGTGATTATTTGTCACATTCATTCGGAATACCTCGAGAGAAGACACGGCGGAAGTGAGCTTTAGATTATCCATCTTCGATTGTGTGACTTCGGCTTTAAGGGTATTTATTGTACTGTCTATGTCCTCTGAGAAACAAAAAATATATGTAATATGTATGGATGCAAATGCATATAGACTACAAATGCATTTATCCTGCTTTCTTGCAACTGAAGTCCTGTTCAGAGAACAGCAAACTATCATATTTGACTATTTCTTCATAGAATTAACAGTTTTGTGAAGATAAAATTTTTGTTTTTGTTTAGTTTTTGTCGTTTTTTAATTTATTGTGTGTGTGTGTGTGTGTGTGTGTGTGTGTGTGTGTGTGTGTGTGTGTGTGTGTGTGTGTGTGTTTTGTTTTCAACCAAAGTTTTACTATGGCGGAATACATACGAGAAACAGAGGATGTGATATTGTTTTGAAATGAGCTCAGATCGTTCTCAGTCGCCTGGAGTCTTCCCTTTGTAGCCATTAAATCCGCATTCAGATTATTCATAGATTCATTCAATCTCTCATAATCTTTAGCATGTTTTTCTTCCATGGTTTTGGGTAAGGTTTTCTCCATGTCCAGTGTATGTTTGTTCAAATCCAACAGAGTGACGGATAAATATCGAACCTCGGTTTTTATATCTCCTAAAACGGTAGATATATTTGTTTCAAATGTCTGTCTTTTCACCTCCATATTTCTGTCTACAGTTCGCTGAATCTCGAATAATTCTGTCAAATTTTCTTTGGCAATTCCGGCATTTTCTTTTAAGTTAATAATGACATTGTTTAATTTCTTGTTTTGTTCTTTTAGCGAGGCAACTTCTGTTTGTAAATCCGATATCAAAGACGAGCTTTCTTTTTGAGACTCCTGCAAGGAGGTAATAACTTGCTTCATGTCGACCATATCCTTCATCAGTGTATGGACGTTTTTCACCAAAGAAATTCGGATAAGAGTTTCTTGATTTAGCAGTTGTCGGAACACGTCTGTATTTTTGGCATCGACTCTTAGTTCTTCTATACTGGTCAAGTTTTGATTATCGTTGCCTGTGACCAAGGATAATCCCTTAACAAATACAAATGAGATAAACATCACAAATGCCGACCAAGTCTTACAGTCCATGTTGATGTTCAAACTATTGTCTGATAAATGATGAAAAAATATGATATTCTGTGGAAGTATTATGTGCGGATTTTCATTTCAAGTGTCTGTAATTGAAACAAAAAGTAAACCAATTACTCTAAGTGTACCATGAGGAGATAAAATTGTTATCTGTTGCAAGCATTATGTTTTAGAGGAATTATGACAACTACTTGCGGTTTATTCACTTTTGTTGGAATTTTATCCCTGTGGAAAACGTTTTTTATCAGATCTTTTTGACGACCTTGTTGATTTTCCAATATTTATCAAGCTTTTCTGAAAACGTGGACCATACGATGAATACTCGATTTCTTCTTTGTTAAAGAACTGCGAACGATAGTATTGTTCTCCCGCCTACCTCCAAGTCAATTTACAAAAGTTAACATTTTCGATGAATTTTTTATATTTTTTTATAGATAATTATATGGATTTTCATAAAATATCACTTATTTGGGAAAACAAGAGAGATAACTCTAAAATTTTGGTAAAACTTGAGTTTTTCACAATAGAAATCAATGGAAAACGGAAAATATTTTTAAAACATCTTTACCCCCCGTGTCACAAAAATTCCTTTTTACAGGTAATATGGAATGGTATTTCACAAATTCATACCAAAGCTTTTTATGTGACATGGGGGGGACATATGATTAATGACGAAAAACGATAAAAATGCTTATTTTCCACCAATTTCAAAGCGATATACAACTGAAACATTATATTTTATTGAAATATTTATGTTTTATGTAATAGCCTAAAACATAAAAAAAGATATAAGGAACATTTAATCATATCCAAGACTATTTCAAAATACGGTGATGCTTGAAACTCCTATTTCAATTGAAAATATCGTCTATCCCCCTTTTTTCAATAGCTGGAATTATGGATAATTTACTGCTAGGTATTAGAACGATATATCAATTACCATTGAACTGTTCTTTGTATTAAACAAAAATTTTATGGCCAAATTGCTATTCATATTGAATTAAGTGGTTCCAAAATGTAGGCGGGAATCGAGAGTTAGCGTGCGTGTATCTTCCTATTCAATCATCATAAGAGCACCAAGATATAAAATTTTATTCCATAGAATTACGGGGAAATTTCTATTTATTTTCTATTCAAAAACCCTATTAGTTTCAATATAACACATCTTTATACCAAAGATTACTAGTAGTTGCATTTTACCTCAATAAGAAATAATTTTAATTTTACTTCTATAGTTTGCTTATAGTTTATTATATGTTCTTACCTTGGGCTAAAGCGATAAAGAATGGGTGGACTTAACTGCCGTGAAAAAAAGTCGTAAATTGAAGTTTCAAAAAATGAATTTTTCTTTACATTATATAATTCATCGACATCTTAACTGTGTATAAATGCCAAATATTTGAATAAAAAAAATTCTATTCAAGGAAATCTAAATCAAAATGTAATGTATGGGTCGAGAGAATTTCATGAATATGAATAGATAATCAGGGTCACGGTTTTTTCAACGTCTTAATACATGGTCAGCACATGTTTGTCGGCTGTTCTTAAGAAACCTGTAGTTGTATATTGAATAAAATTCATATTAAAAGGAGAAGAGCCGACAAACGTATGCTCACACTTAATTTTACAAAAAACAGGTTCAAAACAGTCTTGCCGCTTCCATTGCCATGACTGTGTTAACCTAGATTTCATGACTCCGATTGACCTGCTAAATATAGCCGCGATGAATACAATTATTCTAACACGTGACCTCAAACCTATTCAGAATCGAGAGCGTGTTTTGTTGGTCTGACATTAGCAGAATAGTGCATTTCTAATCCGTTGTAATCACTTATTTATATTGTTTGTTGTGTTCACAAAAACAATTAGACATATATTTTGATTTCATATTGACGTTTCTGTCAGTATTATAAGGTGATACTTTACACTTATTTGAATATTTTTGAGCTTTTAAGTAAGGTGAGATTGATTTGGATAAAATCAATTTTAGAGGGGCTATAAAGGATTTTTTTCCGTCTGATAAGGTAAGTTGGGGCGATTTGAGATAACTGTTTATTCTCAGTAAATTATCAGAAGAAATAATGCCGAAATTCTACAGTTGTATTGTTTGTAATAAAAGGGTTTCTCCAAAGTATCGTCGATTTCTCAAAGAGGTAAAATATGCAGCATTAAGAGAAAACATTTCTGTGTTATTAGATGCTGACTGTATTTGCGATAAATGCCACAAAAGATATTCTAGGGGTAAATTGGGCGAGGTTGCCCAAAATGAAATGAAGGTGACCACATTTTATTTAGGCACAAAATGTTGCAAATATTGTGCAGTATGTGGAATGAAAAGAAAATCTCTAAGAAGAATACCACAAGTAGCACGGACAGATGTGTTTCTTAAACACAATGTTATTTTGTATGATAATGCCAGAGCTTGCTATGTTAATTTTGCCGACAAAAACTATCTGAAAAACTGCGATGTACAGAAATATTCATTTCGTTTCAAGCGAGGAACAACGTCCTTGACCTCAAATGAGCTATTGCAACAACTGAGTCGCTGTAGAGAAATACTCATGAAAAACAACGATTCTCGGATTGATTTTGAAAACAGAGATTTTCTGAATAAAGATGATTATGTGTCTTTAACATGTTTAACTCCTGATCAGTTTGATGATCTTTGTTTGCAAGTCGGTAGTTTTAAAACCAGAAAAATTTCAAAGAGAACTGCAGTCGGAATATTGCTTACAAAACTCCGAACAGGCTTATCAAGTAACCTGCTGAAAACATTATTTAACATTGCAGATAAATGCTGCGTATGTAGAATTGTCAAGAGAGCCAGGAATGTTTTATTGAGACATTTCGTCCCAAAACACTTAGGCTTTGACCATATTTCAAGACAAAATGTTCTTCAACATCACACCACGGTCTTCGCGCGGGAACTCTTGGCATCTGGTGACCACAATACAGCCATTCTTCTTATTGATGGAACGTACATTTATATTCAAAAAAGCTCCAAATATACATTTCAAAGAAAATCATATAGTGTTTATAAAGGTCGCCCACTGGTGAAGCCCATGATGATTGTTGCTTCGGATGGCTATATAATTGAAATGCTGGGTCCTTATTTAGCTGATGGAAGAAATAACGACGCTGCTATTCTAAATAAACATTTGCTCGAGGGAGAGAGGGGAATTTTGGAATGGGCTAGGGAAAACGATATTTTGGTTTTAGACTGTGGATTCAGAGATTCATTGGATGTCATTAAATCAGTTGGGTTACAATCAGAGTCACCATATTTTTTGGGTAGGGGGCAAAAACAACACTCTGTAAAGGACGCCAATTTATCGCATTTAGTTACAAAAATCAGATGGGCAGTAGAATCCGCGAATGGCAGACTAAAAAGATGGCAGTTTTTAGCAAATGTAGTGAGCAATAGTCAAATCCCGTATATTGGGGACTATGTTCGTATTGTGGCCGCTTTGATCAAGGCCTTCCGTCCGCCTTTGGCCAGTGATTCAGTTAATGACCACCAGATTGCAAAAACTATGCTTAATAAATCCAAAATAACAGTAAATCCACTGAAAGAGCGCTTCATTATGGACACTGGTAGACGAGCAGCAGGTATCAAAATGACAAAGGTTGATGCTCGAGACGCAGCTCCAGATTTCCCACATCTGTCTGAGGAATACTTGAGATCCCTGACCTTCGGTATCTACCAGTTAAAACAGGCCTCCTCATACTCAGCTGAGCATTTAGATGAGGACGGTGTTGGGAAAGATGTACCTGGTATTTTACAAGCAAAAATTCAATCCCGACATGTGTCGTCGAAGTGCCATTATCTTTGGATACAATATGATGCTTCGGATGCAGAAGACCCCGTGAAATTATGGTATTGCCAGTGCAGGTCAGGGGCTAGATTGGTGGGGAGTTGTGCTCACGTAGCCTCTGTTCTCTGGTTTATAGGGATGCAGAGATATAAAGAGTCTATTGTACCTAGTTTGATGCCAAGTAACATACTGGACTGTGATTCTACTAGTAAATAATTTAACACCCCTCCCCCAGCCTTCCATAGCTGAATTATAATCTTGAATGCCCTTAAATGTTAAAAATAGGAGCATAGAAGTTCTGAAGTGGATGCGGTATGTTTACAACTATTCATAACATACTCTAAGCTAAAATAAATACAGACAGCCCTAAGTTCGTCACCAACAAATGAATCAACAATTTTGTTACTACAATGTACCCCTAAAAAAGAACAACAAGAGATGTTTGTAAAACACGTATGCCCCCTCCTAAAAATAATTGGAATTTTTCAAAGTCGAAGGGGCATAAATCTGTCCAAAACAATCTGATTGTGTCCAAAACAATACTTGGACTAGATATTCTTATGATAAATCTATATACCATTTCATTTCGATATGTACAAAACTGCGAAGAAAATGATCGGAAACTACAAATCATTGAATTTTTTCTAAGTCCAAGGGGCATTACTCTGTCCTAAATGTTTCGATCATACCTTAAACAGATCTTGACCTAGATATTCTTACACGATAAATCTGTATTCCAAATTTCATGTCAATATGTGCAACCTCTGCAATGAAAATGAACGGAAACTGATGGTGGACCGACAGATAGACAAACAGACGGACAGCAGTAAAGCAATATGTCCTCCCTTCTTCGAAGGGTCATAAAAACTTCAAGGCAGGGGATAAGATCAAATGCTAAAAGTAATAAAATTTCTAGTTACCTATTTCTATTTTGATCCTACATTTATATATCTGTTTTGACTATCAAAATACCGGTAAATAAAAACTCAGGTATATCAAGTATTCCGCGGACAGATGTGGTAAAATCAGGAAACGTACCCCCACCCATTCCCAAAAAGTACACAAATAGCAAAATTATCATTCTGGAACTTAAAATTGCAACATTCAGGATTAGATTTAATAAATGCAATTATTGAACTAGATGCTGTCATGAGACAGTAATACCCGCACTATGGTGTTTGCCTCTAAATATACACTCAT